ATAGCTGTATATATACGTATATTTAATGTATTTGCAGAATAACCTTGGTAATTTATAAGATATAGTGATAAAAATCTTTATAAATTCACCACTGCTGCAAGGATTGCACACCGCTTTATCGATTTTATCAATTTTCACTGAGGCGCGCACATGCGCAGGTTCTATCTCTCAATGCATGGCATAATTCAGTTTGGCTTTTCTTTTTACGTCCAACATGAATGTAGGTGATATTTAGATTATGCTACCGCAGATATATTGCCCAACAATAAAGGTTTATTTTGAAAAATAATTTTCTCTTTTGTTGTCGAACAAAAAGATTTCAGCGCAGTTTGTAAAGTAGCGCGCCTCCTTTGTTGGTTCTTTTTGTCACGATACTGTCAGGTACAAGCAAAATCCGTTCGGTTGTGCATTCGTGAGTCGCGGGCCGTGAAATAATAACAATAACACCCTTGTTGAATGCGCCGTACGGTAGTTTTTCGAGTGCGCGCATTTTAATAATAAATATCTCGTTTGCCCATTCAATTGAGTTGCGCTTTTGTTGTGAGACTTAGATTGTATCATTGTGTGCCAAGGTAAGGATCGTAGCTTTTTCACTTTGTCAGTATGTCTATCCATTTAGTTGGGAAATAGTTGAATTGGTATAACAAAAACACACTCAGAATTCCTTGATTTGAGTGTTGTTGAAAAGTAAATTAGCGGTAAATTTAGTTGCTTTTAAAAAAAATCCAATATAGCTCCAATTGGAAGTATAGCTGTATTCAATGCTATCATAATTTTGATTTATTATCGGAAGAATTTCGCTTTGAAAATACAAAACTTTATAACTACATTCAGAGCTATCAATCGTAGGGTTTTAGTAATTATGTTCTTTTGTATATACGAGCACAAAAAGGATTTATGGTTTTTGATATTTTGCTGGAAAAAAGGACGGGAGAACTTTCATGCGAATTTTTATCAATATTTTTTATCTTCATGTAGATGGACATCAAACTATTCACCGCGTGTTTATTGGTCGTAGTCTCCTACGCTGCTGCAAAAAGTACACATCGTAAGTACTCTAACTATAATAATTTCATAGCCCTTCATTCTAGAAATTCATCTCATATCTTTCCATAAAGAGCTTGCACCTAAATATCGAATACCGTGGCCTCCAACAATAAGATAAATTCGAAAGTAGCGTAAATCGATCATTCCTAATCTTTGAGCGCAAATTTGCCAAAATAATTTTGTCCGAATATCAAAAATATTCAAATTATTATAATGGGTACGACAATAGGTCCATGTATATAACTATAAAAACTTCTTTGGAGTCTATATATAAGTCATCGGTTAACACAATGCGCCTATACCCCAGGTCTATGAATAATCGTTGCTACATGTCTTGAAAAGTTTAGACTTTCCAGCCAAATTACAGCCCGTCCACAAAATCAAAAGCTAGGTCTATATTACACAGATATATAATAGGTTTGGTTTTTTTGCATCTATATGGAAAAATTATATATCACATGAAGTGATTACGGTGCTCACAAAATCAGCTACTTGTAAGCGAGTAGTGGATAAAACTATATGTAATTAATTATGTACAACTTAAAATACCAGTAAGCAAACAAAGGCACAGTCCACAACTTGTGAACGTCGCTTCCGAATTTATTTAACAAACAAAAGATTTGAAGATGGATCATCCTCTGCACGAACTTTGAATAAAATGCAGTTCGCCTCATATGGCTATTACTGTATTGCGAAATAATGGGAGCAAACTATAATCATGATCATGGAAATAAATTACAAATTACATTCCGACTGAAGTCGTCCACACTTTCAGTCTTCCACAGAATCAAAAGCTAGGCCCGGGCACTTAGCGTAAACACAGTTCAGTGTAAGGGGTCTTTTGTTTACATCTATATATATGTAATGAAGTGTGTGAAGTTATATTAAGGTAGTTAGAAAATCAGCTACCTGTAAACAAGACGGATTTATTCGGATGTGTTCGTCAGGTGTTCTAAAGTAGAAACACGATAGAGGTTGAAAGTTTGGCTGTGTGCATAGAGGTTGAAAATAAGAAAACTAATCACCAGCTTTTTCTGCGCATGTTTTAGTGTACAAAAGGGGCTAACCCCTGTGGCGGAGGATGCTCTGGCACTTGTGCTCCTGCCTGTTCACATACGTGTTGCCACCCAGCACCACCCCCACCTCCCCCACCACTCCCACCACCACCAGTTCTACCACCACCACCACCTGGTCCTCCAGGTCTTGACGGTCCCATGGGCCTGCCCGGGCCAATGGGGCCTGACGGTCCAAAAGGTCCACTCGGTCTCCCAGGTCCACCCGGCCCGGCAGGACCACCAGGTCAAGCAGGTGCGCCAGCAGGTCCACCCGGAAGAGACGGTCCGCCAGGTCCTCCTGGACCATCTGGACATCAAGGTCCCCCAGGTGATCCAGGTTTAATGGGTCCACTTGGACCTCCTGGTCCCCCAGGTAACCCAGCACCACCAGGACCACCACCACCTTGCCCGCCTGTCTGTGCACACACCTGTATCAGAGCTTGCCCACAACCATGTTGTCACGGCCGCTAGGCGAAAAATGGAAACGAAATAGGACCAGGACTATGAATATAACAATGTACTTGACGTTTTTGATAAAAAAAATCGGTATATTTATACACTACCAATTCAAGATTATTTATATTATAGTTAAATTTTTCTGTAGACCAAATTAGAAAGAATCTGTATTTATTAGATGTTTGATGAATATACCATCAATTTTGCTTTGAATTCTGCTCTTAGCTCTATTTTAGCTTATAATTAATAAATTTACTTCAAAGCGCAAAATATAGGATGATCCATGAATTCTTAACCTCCCACCTCATTGATCACCTCAGCAAATCTGAAAACCGATTCTGGAGATTATACATCATACAGACAATACACCCCCTCCTCCTTGGCAGCGCTTTACAGAATCTGTATAATTTGAAAACTAATTCCATTAGCACACACAAAACCTGGGTAGTCTAGATGTCGTTCGGTCTGGGTTCCTTGAAATCTTACTTATTATAATGCAAACTGCGATAGTCACAAGCGTCACGATGGGGAAATATTGTAATTGTTGCATAAGGTACACGTATGTTTACGATAAAATATAAAATACATGCAATTAGATAGTGCCACCTACTATGATTAACCAGAATTCCGCGTTGGAAGTTTTATAGGGTGATTAACTAATAATTACATGCAGGCAAAACATCGCGGATTCCGCTTAGCCAAGATTGAATGAATCGTAAAAAGACTTTAAGGATTTAAATCTTCAAAATATTTTAGGCTTTAGGTCAAGAAATCAAGACCATGTAAATAACTCTAGATCTTTAGGTTCTGATTCCTGATCTTTGTTTCCCGAAATTAGGCTCTTCAAGTCAATCTTCAAGGCATTTAGGTCTTAGAACAGAAAACCGAGACCGTCAACGCTTGCATAGCTCGTTAAGGAGTTATGGCCAGTATATTTCAGATCCTGTTACTTAAGATTAGACATGTATTGGAATTAGTAAATTATATGTTGTGTGGTAGACTGGTACTGTGGGAGACTGGTACTCATCCCATCAACGGCAACTGCCTGTCGATACCTCAAAATTACTTTACGTTGCGTGGAAAAAGCACTTTAGTACAGTTAAAGGGCGGGCATATTCAGTATATTTAACATGATCTACATTCAGTGTCGACGTTATTCCTCAAGGTATACCACGACCTTACGAATATTAAAACAGCAAAATTAAGTGAACCTGCATGTAATCATCAGTGCTCGTGCAATCAAATGAAAACTAACGTGCAAACTTCTAGCGATAGATCTTGATATTCATATATGACCCGTTGCTCGTCGTCATTAGAAAAAATATTAGATTACATCGTTGTACTGTTTCAGTCAAATCGCCAATGTATAATGTGTAGCTTAACCAATCACACTGGAATTAAACGTTGTACACTAATTGGGATTGATTTTAACAGACATTGTGCGGTGAATCGACATTACAACTTCTAAAAAGTAAATAACACTGTACTACTTTACTGTATGGTATGATCAGTGTGGATAGAAGTTGATGACATGCAGTTTTATAGTAAAACTGCATGTCATGATGCTAATCCTGTTGCTTAAATTAAACATTGATCGCGTGCATGTGACTGCGTGGATTTTGTTATACAAAGGTTATATTCGACCTCAGTATTTTGTCCGTTGAAAGAAGCGATGGGATTTGGCTGCCTGGCGAAGATCAAATCTGACGAAAAGAAAATGCTAAAGATACTCATTTATGCGGAAGCTTCCAATATATTGTGGTAAAATAGGAATGCTGCAATCATTTTCGTCATTAGACGGAGACCTGATGCATGAGTTCTTGTTTGACACCTCAAAATGCTTTTATACCCTACAACATGCGGATTAATGGGAGCGCAACTAATATACGTAAACGTTTCTCTTCCATAGCGTTAACTTTTACCGCCTCATTAGTTTTGGCGTGGTTTTGCTTAATGGTCGTAAAATTACATTAAGGATCCGGATCCCTCTGTTATCTGGACTAGCAGTATATTTAGTAACAACATAACGTATACTGTGTATGAAAAAGAAAGAATTACATATGAAACAAAGTGTAAAAAAGTGTCTAAAAGATTAGGCTATACTTGATGCCGACTGGCTTCATTATCTTGCATGCAGGTTCCTCGTGGACAAAATCATCATACTTGTTTGCCAATTAATCAAAATAGGGCTAACGTGGAAAAGAAGGATTGGTGATCGTGTAGAAATAGAAACGGTGATATTGTTAAGCATGTCGCAGCGTTAAAAAATAGTTCCAAAATTAAGACGATGTGCGCGAAATTAAAGAAAAAATTGAAGGGACAGAATTACGATGTTGCTTGCTATCTCTCCTTGACATCTCAGAGCGGGTTGCACCTTTGATGGGCGTTAATGGTTAGAAACGCTTGAGGTGTTTCGAGTATGACCTTACCGATTGATATCGAAGCCGTTTTAAAAGAGTAGTTTCAAAAGAGACGGAAACCTATTTTGCCCACTCCAGAAAGAAGAAAGGAAGTACAGAAATCTATCTTGCTACACGTAAGTGCTGAAAATATATGTAATTTTTTTCATAAATTATATTTGTGAAATACCGTAAATTGTCGTGGCATGATTTTCCTTAAGAATACAACCAAACAAGAAAGACTAAAGGCAAATTATTTGATGCTGTCATATTACATTCGAGATTCAGCATACATAAAAAATTGGAATGAGAATTTTTTATGCTCACTATATAGAGAAATACTGTAATTTCCAAATTTGGAAAGAGAATTTTTTGCATGTTAAGGGCACATTACATAACCCCAGTACGGGTTTCAGATGACGTGATTATATATCTTCCTAAAATAATATTCTTTAAGCAGTTAAAATTACTCACTTAGAAAACCTTAATGAAATTTAACGTATACTGAAACAGGAGATGAAAGCTCCCAAGCGTGAACTTTGTTTGTATAACTAGATTTACAGCAAAACTCGTAAAATATCGGCGATCGAAGCGTTTTTGATCAATGTAACGGGCACCACCCGACTTCAATCATTTCTTTCACAGCTTGATAAATGGGTTCATGTATAAGATATTTTTGAAGTTAACTCAACTCGCGATATGTTTAGCTGCATGGCCTATTGCATACTTTTTCAAAAAAGATCAGATAAATGGAACTGTACCTGCATGATTCATTGTAGTTAGCTAGTATTAATGAGGCCTTTCACGCACCAACAAGTCTGGGTGTCGCCGACTTTTGAGATTACCAGTTAAATGAAAGAAAAATTAAATTACTTCCTAAATTGTTAGAGTTACTTATGAGAAGGGCAGTGATTCTTTACGTTGCTGTCTGGTCAAATTATAGCATCAGAAATGTCGGCTCACTACAGAAATATAAATCCGAAACATCTCCTGTTTGTAAATTGAGTTAACTTGGGATGCCGTACACATGGAAACAGATTATTTGTTTTATATTTACAGAAACCGTACAAAATGGATTTGAGAGTTCTAGTCTCAACGTTGCTACTCATAGTGGCTTTTACTGACGCAAAACCGAATAAGTCAGGTAAACATCCTGCGGGTATAATATTAGAATACGACTTTATGTATATATAGCTGTGCTTGAACATGAAAACAGGGCTAGAGAGAGAGAGAATGAAGTACACTTTGTAGTTTTGATTGGTCGAAAACTGAGAAAGAATTGCAAACCTTGGATCCCTTAGTTTCCATATTGCGACCTATAATCCCATAGACTAATATATAATTTATTAGGCGCATGCAGATCATTATTCGAATGAAAATAGGTATTGGAAACTCATTTTCATTGTTTGAAGAACGCATGTTTTTCGGATAAAAAACAAACAAACTGAACCTCCAGTATTCTTACTTTGACTTCAGCAATATTTTCACAAATCAAAACAGCAGGTCGTGTTATACCCCTAAGATCATGTTCAAGCTAAAGCGTTCGCAGTAAAAGCAGACGCAAGAACATCGCGGAAGGAATCGAATTTGTTTAATAACATCTCCAATCCGAGTAAAAGTATGAAGCAACTTTTTAGTAAGAAATCTGACAAGATGCCATTAATTTACATCTCTGCCTTTATAGCTTTGAAAAGAACTATAGCCACCTGCCAAAGCGCCTGTCCACAAATATGTGCACCAGCCTGCACACCCGTTTGTTGTGCCCGGCCTGCACCTCCAGCTCCACCTGGTCCCCCTGGCCTCGATGGTCCTATGGGTCTTCCTGGTGCTCCAGGACCAGATGGTCCCAAAGGTCCACTTGGAATGCCAGGACCACCAGGTCCGCCAGGTCCTGCAGGACCGCCCGGTGCACCAGCAGGGCCACCAGGAAACGATGGTCCACCTGGGCCAATGGGTTCTCCTGGTAATCAAGGTCCCCCAGGTGATCCAGGTCCACAAGGTCCAATGGGCCTACCAGGTCCACAAGGTCCCCCAGGACTGGCTTCATCATGCGCCCCGGTATGTGCGAGGACATGCGTCAGGTCATGCCCTGCGACATGCTGCCACGGAATGAAATAATCATATGGATCAGAACGGTTATATAGTGTTGAATTTATCAAAGCATTTGACACGGCAATTACATTCATGTCATGTGTAACTATTTCGTTATAATTCGCTATCTTGTAGTACTGTAATAATAATAAATAAATAGTGTTCTATATTACACTTGTAATAGACAATGCTTTTATATGATATATAGTTCTGAATTTAGGATGGCAAATGCAGAGCCCAAAGTACACTTTTTGGAATCCTGATTTTTGAGCTTCCTATTTTTTTTTTCTTAGGCTGAGATTATTTGCCTTCAAAGGACGCTATTTCATTAATTTTGTTTTTATCTTCCTCTCAGCAAAATATACATCCGTCCACTTTTCGGCTATGAAACATGCCGAAGTAGCTACATATTAAAATTATGTTCAACAAATTAATAATTCTACACACTAAAAAAAGGTGTGTTAGATTTACACACCTTTTTTGTCCAAATTTTAACACACCTAAAGGTAGGTTTTGAAACACACCTAAAGGTGATATTATAATATCTTTACAAGACTTCCGTTAACTTTCAGGCTTTCGGTAGTTTCCTTTAATCTGAATGCGGTTGTTGTCTATAAAAAACACAGCAATGCAAAACGACCGTAAACGTAGAGGTTTCAATTAGATGCACGTTTCCAATATAATAAGTGAAAGGTTTTTCGATAGTTTGGCAAACGCACGAAATATATTAAAGGATTATTTGCACAATTTAACATGAATAGCATTGAGAGGAAAGAATTCAATACATCCAAAGGCAAGGGCAAGGCTAGCGTTCCGTCAAGGCGCATTCCGCGTTCTGATAAAATAACATGTATCAGGATTGAGATTGGTACAATGCCTATGAATGTAAAGAATGCTACCAAAAATATCGTCCCCATAAAGCGTCTTTCTTTCAAAAGACGAATCTCTTGCGAACGGTTAAGTCCACTTTCATTTCGTAAGGCCATTCTCCTGGATTGTTTTCTTAGAGAGATGAATGTTATCACATACAGAATACTCGTGACCAGGATGATAGCGACTGTGAGATATAAGTGGACTAAGAAATTGTAGACATTCCGAGTTTCAGAAGAAACATATTTTCTGATAGAGTAGATAGAAGAAGATACCCATATGAATGCTAACAATATAATAATTTTCCTGCCCCTCATCATGTAATGATGTTTGAAAGGGTAGGTGACCAGCAAGCACCGATCTGCTGCGATCGAAATGATTGTCATCAAGGAAACAGATAATTGTATTTCCATTGTCATCAGAATTGTCCAATGCGCGATCCAATACTTATATGGTTCACATAGGGATATCAGTAGGTCGGAAACAGCTAGGTTGGCGACGAGATACGTCGCAGAATTCTTGAAGCACTTTAGTGGATCTTTGATAAATGCGATCAAAAGTAGTACGTGAGAAACGACTCCATATAGGCCAATGATGTACATAGGCATATCTCTGTATCGAAAATGCATATATATTATTGCAGAAGACGAATTCATTTCTTGCGAACGACGAAAGTTATACCAACCTGATGATGTATCGAAAATGCATATATATTATTGCAGAAGACGAATTCATTTCTTGCGAACGACGAAAGTTATACCAACCTGATGAAATGCATTTAATTAAACCTTATACAGCCCTTGGCAATATTTTCGTGTGTCTTAATATACTTAATTTTTTTTTCATATATAGTGGAAAAGTAAACAAACAAACTTTATTAATGATCGTTTTTATTAATAATATATGTATGTATAAATTAAATAATAAATGAATATATATGATATTGCAGAAGACGAATTCAATTCTTGCGAACAACGAAAGTTATAGCAACCTGACTAAATGCATCTAAGGCTAGCGTCCTATCAATGCGCATTCCTTGTATTTTAAGAATATAAGCATCAGAATTACGTTTTGTGCAATGCATATGAATGTAATAAATGCAACCAAAACTATTGTCCTCAAAACCCGTTGATGGATAACGATGCCAAATTTTAGTCATTTTAGCACAAATTTCTAACGATGTTCGTCATAGCTATAGCCTATATGCCATATGGATTAAGATGTAATTAAAGGCTGCATGTACTTATAAAGTTTAGACAACCTGCGATTTATTAATCAAGCTATACTATTATAGCGCGTATTCTGTTAATCAGGATTTTTTTAATGATAGCAATCTGTAATCTTGCGGTATCTTGCTTTTAGGCAGCGTTTATTTGTCGTCGGCTTTTTCGCCAGCAATGAGTAAATTCTCGTGTAGGCAGCGAAATGGCTTCCATATAAGATGAATAATTAAAAAAATAGCGATGAAAGGGCACAGCTGTGCTTTAATTCGAGCTTGGTCTGTGTCCCGCCTGACTCAGTCGCCGTTTTTTGGCTCTGCTGTTGCAAACATTGCGGTCACGCTATTTTGTTTTTCTATTTTGAGTGTACCTCACCTCGCAAAGGTATATCCCTAATATGGTCTTAAACTGGATCATCTATAAACCATACCACGAGGAATCTTTTTCGAATGTTATCCGCTAGCCCTCGTGTGGAATTTGCTAGACTAGGGTCTAGTTTGCGTTTGAAAACAATACAATACAATATACAATGGCAATGCAGGGTACAATGCAATACAAAAACGTTCTGCTTGAGTGATGGCTTTTAGTTTTTAAAGTACAGATTCTTAGCACTTAATATCAAACTATCACAATACTGTGAATAGTCAATACTTCACTTTTTATTTTCGCAGAGTTTAATAAAGTGATAAACTAGCTATAATATATTAAATTTTAAACAAGATGCAAAGCTTCGTATAGTCACAAAAATTCGTATCAACATTTTTACAGGAGTGCAACATTTGTTCCACTTTAAATATAAAATATAATCCTTTTCTGAATGCTATCAAAAAACAAAATTAAAAAAATTACATATACCTAAATTGCAAAAATAGATTTAGGCTGATAGCACATACTACAGCAAAGACGACGTGAGGCGATCGAGCCATCTGAGGATTGCCATTCTTTCTGCATGAAGAACGTCGTAGTGTATGAACGGAACCGTTTACGCAGCTATTGCTTGCAGATTTCGCCGTCGACGGGATACATTTGTTCTAATAATGTCAACTCATCTACACTATCCTCATCGCTTGTTAAGAAAGGCGCATAGCCGTCGAATGAGAGCTCGTCATATTCCTGTCGTTCTTCAGGAGTAACATCGTCTCCATCGTACATAAACGATGCGAACCTGGAAATGGAGCGCTAGAACTAGAGGCATATACTGGAGACGAATATATTTAGCGCAGCTAAATCGATATATAGTATATAAGCTGTAAAAAATAAATTGCATTGTTTGGAAACTTAAAGTCCAATTCAGGTGCACACACAAAGTGTATGAGAGCAAATATACCAGGTGTTGCAATAAAATTGACCTTGATAACATTTATGGTGCACATTATACAGACTTTAGCTCATGTGTGGGAATGAATAAAAAAATCTCGTAAATATATAACCTGTCAGAACAGGAATCGTATGTGCAGGAGGCCAAGGGGATAATCTATGAGGCGTATAATGGTCCATATATAATTAATTTAAGGTTTTATATCATGACAGTAAATACTAGAATTGTCCTAGGGTAAAAAAACTGAAGTTTTATCGTGAATACCTTTTCGGATTTTTTAATCTGGAAACAGTCTTCCATGTATTGCATTCAGGACTCTCACAATACTCTCTTAACGCCTTTAAGGCTTTAGCAGTCTCTTCGATTCCTTCTTTTTCGTATTCTTCCATAGTAATTAACCGTGGCCTTCGAAAATACGCTTGAAGGCGATATGGAACCCTGAAATGGAAATTTACATGGATTGTGAAATAGGTGCGTTTTTCTCAGAAAGAATGACCTAAAACGAATACTATATCATACTGTGATTTTGAACCTACCAGCCTCTAGTTAGAACATAATGACGAGCACCTAGAAATGAAATCCATCTCGTGGTGATCAGTATTAAAACGAAAGTCAAAGAAATTTCCTCGCATCGTATGCTGTAGTAAACAATGAACAAAGCCACGGATTGCAAAGACCACTTCATGATGTCCAAGCCACGGGCGCTCTCAATTGGACCACGATAGTAACAATAGAGAAAACTAACTAGAGCTATGTTAAAAAAAAGGTATGAAAGTTAATATTTCATAAATGGGCATATATAGCTCAGTTTTAGAATCCGAACATGCAATCATATAAAATTGTTTGTATGAAGACAGCAGTCATGCAATTGATGTTTACTTTTTCAAAAGTATAGATTCATGCAAGCCTTGAGGGTTGCAATCTGTAAAAACATAGCATTTTTTTCATTAGGTCGAGGTGATATAAACACGCAAGATTTTTCACTATTCCGGCTCAGGGAAATTTCCATTTGGATAAGCCAAATCTCGTAGCCAGAGATCAACGACAACTAATTTGCACACGCTTATCTGCATAGCATAAATAGAGGTTGTACTCAAAGATTTGTTGCCTGGGACAAATGAAATCGAAGAAGTGACAACTTCGAGTCCTGAGAAGTCAGGATAATCATAGGCAGGCATTAACTTGGTGATTATAGGTGATAACCTCCAGAATAGTCTCTTGTAACTGAACAAATTTAACAGAAGGAGGGTTTCCGTATGTAAAGGCATTTTTATTGTCAAATGGCTATGGTTCTTGTAGGATTTATTTTTGCGTTCCTGGTTTGTCAAACATGATGAAGTAAACTCTAAGCTCAAAGCATGTTATACAACTGTGTAGACCTAACAAAATCGCGCAAATGTCTTCTGTATCTTTACCTGCTGATATAAAATAAGCATAAAATATCTTCATGTCTGCAAATTTTCCACTAATGATAAGTTCCGTTACGAAACGAAAGAAATATAGAACGATGCTGGAACCACAAAACATGAAAACATAACCAATGCCTCTCTGGCAAAAAAAATTTGAGGAATACATTTAAGAACTACAGTAATCAGTATGTATACTTAAATCACGAGGAAAAATTTAATAATGCAAAAATTTAGCATCAAAAGCACATGGGGCACCCCCAGTGCCTGAGTAATATCTGTTGTATACCCATAAATAGGGAACGAACTATACGTAGGCCATGTTAATCCCACTCATACTTTAGCAAACCTGTGGCATAAACTTTGAAATGACAAACAAAAGAAGGAAAACGGCCATAATCATTCCCATTGACACGCCAGCCGTGTAATAAAACAAAACGCTCCTACAAAAATACGTGAGAAATAGTGTATGTATTATCTATTTGCCATACTATAAGCTACGAGATGAAGAGATGAAAATTAATGATAATTCTGTAGTTCTTCGAACGTGCAACATTTTACTAAACACGGATTGAAAAATATTTTTATATCAGCGGTATAAATCCTAACTTCCGCCAAGTTAGACGAGGTGCATAGAGAATATTAAAACTTTCCCAGACTATTTAAAAACCGACGCGAGCAAAGTGTAAGTTCAATTGAATAAATGGCGTGCCCAGCATGCTTGGACTTCGTTTGCTTCCCGGTCTCGAATCGTCCAACTTTCGTACCTTTCGAGTATATATACGTTAGCTTCAAAGCGAAATAGCATATTTAAAAAAAATGCGTATAGTCGCATCGTATATACGCTATAATGCATGTAACATTATATTATGACTCAAACACTTTTGTTTGGACGAACATCAGACATGCGTCTTGAGAGCACGGACCAGGCAGTGGAAAAAGCATTAAACATTTTGTAACATTGCGCTAACACTCACGGTTGTCCCTATTTTACGCAACAATTTTCCGCCATTTTGTTTATTTTTGGAAAATCATTAACTGCGGTAAAAAATCATTAACTGCACTTTAGTATAATCTTCCTCTCAACCAATCAGCATCCAGTAAGGTGGTAAAATAATATTGCAAAAACTATATACCTTGCAACTAAATCAGCTTTGTGGAACAAAATTATTCCGAAAATCAACGCGACAGGATACTGGATCCTTATTTTATGAGAAGTAACTAAAAATGAAGAACGCAATCATGGATGAAAAATCTGTTCTTTGCTGGAGGGAAGAAACAACACAATTCATCCAGTAGTATGCTTGGGTCGCAAAATATAAAAAATTGCAACGTCGTTTTCTTTTAGAATGATATATACATGGTTATGCCGAATATTATGCATACCTTTGGCTTCCCAATACCCTTCTGTGGAGATTGCATAACAATTCCTACCATAGGGAGGTACTGACAGAACAACACTGCCTCCAGTTTTACCAAATGACGGCCAGTTCATGGGAAACCAAGTATTGGCTCTACTCACAAATTTTTCCCTGACTTCTTTACAACTAGAAAACACGAATTGAAAAGAGGTCAGCCTCGCACCTGAGCCCGCTTTTAGGGAACTACATTATAATTTTAAATAAATATCGTAACAAACACATAGAAATAACAGCTCCATACACAGGCGATTTTTTGGAAAACACCATGAAGGTTGTAAAGGTTGCATTCAGCTACCTTTTACAGATCGATGGGGAATGAAAGCGCGAACGTTGCAACTCAATATAGTAGCTAAATGCAACTTTTATAGTCTTTATGTCGTTTCCCAAAAAAGCGGCTTAATTGGTACGAGCCTTTAGAGATAAGGGGCCAGTTGTTCAAAGCTGGGATAGCGCTAATTAACCCAGGGTTAAATTTAATCCACTGTTTTGGTTTAAGTGCCTCTGAACCGCTGTTCGTTTCAAAACCTTTACAAAATATGGCTTTTGTCCAGAAAATATTTATGGAAAAAGATATTCAACTTTGTAAACAGGCGATTAAAAAAATCGATGTAAAGATTTGCTTTAACCCAGGGTGAAGCTAACCGGCTTTTAAACAACCGGTCTAAGGTGTTGAACTGAAGGAACGCGCGGGAGGGCGGAGCACGGCATGCGACCCTGGGCTGTACAGGACAGGGCCGTCGCTAAAGGCTTAATTGGGGGGTGCATATTCATAATTATATTTATGTTTCTACAACCGTGGAAACAATGATAGTTAACAAAAGAAATCAGTCGGGTATAGGACAAATAAATGAATATGCACCCCCCTCCCCAATTAAGCTTCTAGCGACAGCCCTGGTACGGGGTGTAACTCCTTTCGATTAATTAATGCAGGGGCGAATACTACCTTTTCCCCGAAACGACATTCACCGAATCCTCAGGTTCAGTCTGTATATCTATTTCTACGTCCGCCCAAATTGCCCAAATAGAGTTATGTTTGTGGCCGTTGATGCACAGAGGCTTGGAAGAACTATTGAACTGGAACGACTCCCAAGGATGTGAAAAAAAGAAAATATTGAGACCTAAACGACAATTAGAACCGTGAATTATAAAGGGATCAACGTAGCCTTGCATTGATTGTTCAAGCGACGTCGTAGTATACTGACCAACGGGTTTTTTCAAATGCTGTCGGGTCGTGTTGTCAAGAAATTTTGAAGAACATACTGAACATAAATGCAAGAAAGAAGCGAGGAATCTTTACAACATTTTGGTAGTTAGTGTAAGATTGTCGTCATACTAAAACAATTATCCCCTCAAGCTGGACTAAATCCGCCTTGGTTATTCTTTCGAAATATTCACGTTCGCCATTTGGCTCTCGACGTCTTTTTCTGAACTTATTAGCAAATGATATATTCTGTGAATAGACATTTCCCTGTTCTCCGGCAATAAAAACCATTCCACAAACAATAGATTACATTTTTGCCCGCCTCGTTTCCAAGCTATTATTATTTTGTGTGCACACAAGGATATTTGGGAAGTGTCTATTGAGCAACGCTAGTGCAGGACGGATGTTCTGCGGCGAAAGTGAGTTATAAATCTGTAAATGTTATGATACGTCATTGCCCTTTAATTCGTGACAAGAAATCGGACAAATTTCGGTTATATAGCATAGTGACGCATGCGCAGCGGCTACGCACAAAATACAAGCCATGGACAATACTAATCAGAAGTGATCATATTATAATCGGCTTAATTATAATTGTGCTGAAATGCATATTTTAGGACACTCTAATTGAAAATATTTCAGCTCAGTTGGTCAATAAATAGATAATTTTGCTTTCCGTTTCAAACTCAACCGATGTTTAAACCAAACGCGGCTTGAATAACCGGCCCCGGAACAATAAAATGTCTTATGAGCAGTAATTATACTATATTTATACATCATGACAGTGCATCATTCATTCATTAAAATATACAGATTAATCGCCATTATACCAGCTAAATTTTGGATCTCTAAAGGTTCCATAATATTGGCAAATGCATGTATACATACGGTCACAATGTCGACTTCCATATATAATTTCGGTTTCAAAGCAAAATTTTCTTCTGCAAATTTAAACGTTCGTGTCACACATTTGTAACATATTAATTAAAGTTTATTAATTGGACTACATATTGTGATTAAGGAAAATTCCATTTTCTGCATGTCAATCTTACGTTCGAGAATTAAAAACAATCAATCGTACATGTAGAAGACCTGAAAGAACTGAATTAAGCAGTCGTGCAATGAGAATCCCAAACTCGCTTCACGTTGTTGTATAATCATTGATTATCTTGCTAAAATACACAGTAAACGGGGGAAAAATGACTTCCGATTTCGACTTGACACTGCTGTTTCTGTACCTCATCTGTTCATTCGGCAGCATTTCAAATGTACTACTCCTGATTGCTTTTATCAAAGATCCTTTGAAGTGCTTCAGAAACTCGGCAACATATCTTGTCGCTAACCTGGCATGCTCCGACCTTTTAATATGTTTCTCTGGACTACTACTCGAACTGCAGTTACATTGGATCTTTTCTGTCATTTGGCGTTCAGTCGTGCCTGTATCGATTGCAACAATTCTTGCGATCGCATTAGATAGATATCTGATGGTCGCTTTTCCATTCAAACATAAATTCTTCACGAACGGCAAAAAAATAGGCATTTGGCTGCTAATCTGTTGGATTGTACCTTTGAGCTCCTATGTAAATTATTTTCTTTCACAACCAATGGTTTCATTTGCAAAGAATACCGCGGATCTTTATGCTGGATTGACACTAACGTTGTTGATAGGATTTCTGTACGTAATGACAACTCGCTCGTTGCGAACCCAAGCGAAAAATTTAGAGTCGTACAACACGGATGCCGGGTCAAACCGTACACAAGCGGCTAGGGTGTCAAGAGAGAGGAGATTCATGAACACCGTTGCTTTGGTGGCGTGCATTACAGTTATTGGTATAGCGCCTTTCTTGATCATGCAAAGTGTTCTAATGGAGAGAAATTACAAGACGGGATCAGAAACAGTCATTGAAATATTGTATACTTTTGTACACGCATTATTCTACTGCACTTTCGCCGTAAATCCTCTGATATATTTGCTGCGTTTATCTAACTATCGTAAAGCATTTCTTGCACTCTACTGGAGACGCTGAGATAAGTCGATATAGGAAACAATCGTCATAAGCATATCTTATATAGTATAGCGATGGGCCTGGCTGAAAGTACCACTCAGCCAAAGTTAACAAGGATGGATGGCCTCTGATATTACCTAACCTATCATGTATCAACCTATATACATATATATTGTTAGTAGTGGCTGGCTAATGATGGTGTGGTTTTGTCCACGAAATACAAAATAAGGCTCAATATCATATAGCTTAGAAATACGGATGAAACAGACTGTCGTAATGGACGAATTTTGGTAATCAAATATGTTGTATATGTCACATATATGCATGTTGTTATAGATGTATTAAGTTCGACAAATTATTGAAAACTGGATAAATAATGCAGAAGATTTCATGATGCAGTCTTTTCAACGTTTATTATTTCGTCAGTCAAAATTTTAGAGATTCTAATTACGTGACTATATATTTCAATATGCTTAAAACTAAACGTTTACTCGATATATTAAGTATCCAAAAAAGTTTAATAAACGCATGCATGCAGTAATATTAAAACTTACGGTATAACTTAAAATGATTAAATGGCGAATCAATTCATCGAACCTTGTGAAGCGACCATTGCAAGTGCATTTTTGCAGGTGCATGGGATTTTAAATTTAATAAACATCACTGCATACGTTCGAAAAACTTTATTTGGATTGATAACATATCAAGTAATATCATAGTGCAATATCAAGTTATGAACATGTTCGACAGGTGAACTTGATCATCATGTACACTCCCCGTACGGCGGTTGCCAGAGCCCTGAGATTAGTGTGTATATGATGGTTCTTAGTTAATTTTATATAATGCCCCATTAAATTTAGAGCGTTTAATTGGTTGATGACGATCATGTGATATTGAATAGAAAGTCCCATTTCCCAAGAGTGCAATGGAAAGCGTTCCATAGCACTCTCCAGAGTGCAATTGTACCATACATTTTGTTCTATTGCACTCTTAATGCTTTCAGTAAATACCATCCATCAAAATGCTTCTCACACAGTTTGTTTTTTATTAAATTATATTTTTGAAACGAGACAGTCTATTTTGGTATTATATAAAACAAATAATGAATGTTTTCATTCGTGCAATGGTAAAAATATTTTCACTTGGTGAAAGATGGAATGTTCCATTCAACTCGGCTATGGCCTCTTTGAATGGAACATTCCATCTTTCACCTCGTGAAAATATTTTTACCATTGCACTCATAAACATTCATTATTTGTATAATATTTGGTTACAAATGTAAAAATATAGGGTGTCGCAAAGTTCAGTCACCTCGCGGACGAATGTGCCCGGTGTGCGCAAAACAAATGAGATAAAATCATGTGGCCAGAAATATGTATATGTAACTAGAATATCACAATACTACACTCTAAAGTGAACGCGCGCATGTAGCGTTTAAACAACCAAAATACGTTATTTTGACTTCATTACTCAATAAATATCTCAGACCAATATGCAATATTGGTTAGTCGGCCAGCCAGGCACTGCTGTTGCTTGGACCGCATGCAATTTATCGATATAACAATTCATAATTCATATATCTGCAATCTTAATTGTCTTTATAATAAACAGCAAGCCGGAAAAGAATTTAGGAAACGTGTACCCCCAACCAGTGCGTTGCTGTATTAAACCTTCAAGGTTTTAAGGTGGTTTACATTTACAATATGTCACTAAATAAATCCAGTCATTAAATATATAACTGAAAATATATGTTGCTCGTTCGATGTTGCTGACTGACCGTAGATTGAATAATATATTGCCAACTGCCACGGTGCCACCTTTATACTATCATACCTCGCCATGCATCGCCGACTATTTATTGTTCCACGCCAGCAAAATATTAATTTCACAATATCACAAATTACATTTTTCTTCAAAATGTTAAAATTCTTGTCAAACAAATTGTAAACACATTAATTAAGGTATATTGAGCCACATGTTGTATGCAAAATTCTATCTTATATATGTCAATGTTATTCGTTCGACCATTCGTACGTGTAGAAAACCTGAAACTGAATTAAACAGTCGTACAGCGAAGTTTCCTTACTCGCCTCACGGTATTATATAACTTCACAAAAATAAACAAAAAAGGGGGAAATGACCTTCGATTTCGATTTCGATTTGACACTGCTGCCTCTGTATTTTATCTGTTCATTCGGCAGCGTTTCAAATGCACTACTCTTGATTGCTTTTATCAAAGATCCTTTGAAGTGCTTTAGAAACTCAGCAACATATCTTGTGGCAAACCTGGCGTGCTCCGACCTTCTTAACATGTTTCTGTGGACTATTATTCAAACTGCAGGTACATCGGATTTTTTTGTCATTTGGCATACAGTCATACCTGTGTCGACTGTGACAATTTTTGCGATCGCATTAGATCGATATCTAATCGTCGCTTGTCCATTTAAACACAAATTCTTCACGAACGGCAAAAAAATAGGCCTTTGGGTGCTACTGTGTTGGATTGTACCTTTGAGCGCCAAAATAAATGATTTTTTTTCACAACCAATTGTTTCATTTGGTGCAAGTTCCTTGGAACTTTATGCTGGAGTAGTATTTTCGCTCTTGACAGGTTTTCTGTACGTAATGACAACTCGCTCGTTGCGAATCCAAGCGAGAAATTTAGAGTCCTACAACCCGGATGCCGGGTCGAATCGTACACAAGCAGCTCGAACGTCAAGAGAGAGACGGTTCCTGAACACCATTGCTTTGGTGGCGTGCATTACAGTTATTGGTATAGCGCCTTACTTGGTCATGCACAGTGTTCTCAGGAGGAGAAATTACAAGACGGGATTAGAACCCGTCATTGAAATATTTCATAATTTTTTACAGGTATTATTCTACTGCACTTTTGCCGTAAATCCTCTGATATATTTACTGCGTTTATCTAACTATCGTAAGGCATTTCGTGCACTGTACCGGAGACGCTGAGATCATCGATGTAACAACAACCATCATATTAAGCATGTCTTAATATAGCGAAGGGCCTGCTGGGTGAAACGACCAGCAAGAGTTAACACGGAGGATTGCATGTCTTCTGATATCAGATATAACCTATCATGTATCAACTTATACATATATATTATCAGTAAATATAGTGTAGTTTGGTCCACAAAATATCAGAGAGTGCATGCTCAATATCATATAGCGCAAAATACACGTAATTTTGATTACCAAAGGCAAAGCGAAGCTGAGGCAGTTAACATTGACCGAGGTCTGAATAATTTTTGATATCAAGCAAAAGGCGAACTCATGCAGTAATTGTTTTGATTACACATTTAAAGACATCAGAAACGTACGTATAAAGCGGGTAAACGAAGTTTATCGTGTACATGACGTTTTCATCGGGACGAGCAAATCGGTGCTGTGATCGTGAGCCATTTTGTTTAGTTTATTTTCGCGCTCTTTCGCGGGTTCGAGTTGCTGGCGCGGCAAGCTATGGGTACGAGATAGTCCAATATTTTTTTGGTAGAAAGGGTGACTAAAAAAACGCCGTTTTTGATATTCACTATGTATTTTTAGCCATTTTAAGTTCTAAATTAAAATCTAATAAACATAGCTTCATACGTTTAATAAACTTTATCTTGATTAATAACATATGAAGTACACATACAATTATGGACATATTAAAATATGGCCGTATAATATTCGACACCTTAAAATTTTTAGCTACTAATGTTAAAATGATAATGTGATATATTCTTGGCATTAAAACGTTCATTTTTCGTTCGTTAATTCGTCGAATACCATTTTCAATTTCATTCAGCGAATAAAAATAAACTTACAACTTGTTCAAACAGAAAGTAAAGTAATTATTCTTGCAGGAAGACATTAATCAGTCTGCGAGCAGCAGGCTATAATTGCAGCATTTTCACTGCGCATCAGAAGGTTGACACTTCGAAATTAGAAGTCATGCTGACTCATGCAAGATGAATTTTGACTTCAATTTCAGGGACTTACTGAGATATATCATATGCTTCTGCGGTATCATTTTCCATTTGCTACTTTTGATCGGCTTTCTAAAAGATCCAGAAATTCTGCGACGTACTTCGTTACTAATCTCGGCGCCTCCGACCTGATTATATTCCTCGAGCGTAGCAATATTCGAAATATCAAAAGTACACTAGAGCTTCTTCATTATTTGGTGTTCTACATTGTGTATGTGTGTATCTATGGCATCGATCGTCTCAATTAACAGCCACAGACAAGTTCCTGATGGTTGCTTTTCCATTCAAACATCATTATCTTAATGAACTTATAGATCCACTGGTATGTTTCACAAATCAGAAACCTATTTCAAAATATCTTCATACGGGAGTGCATGATAATGAATGTTCGTCACAGGTTCGCTGTATGTCCTGACCTCTCTCGGAAGCAAGCGCGAAAACTAGCCTCGCATAATAATTACATGCCTCGAGACAAGTTCGTGCGTTGAGGGAGAAGAAGTTCTTAAATAAAATACTTCTCCTGGCGTTTATTGCTGTGATCGGCACTGTTCCTTTCTTAATTGCGTGCAGGATTTTGAAGAAAGAAGAAAGTTACAGTCAACGATTATTACACCCATTTTTTAATTGTACCTTTGCAATGAACCTTTTAATATACTCTCTTCTTTAGCAAACTATTGCAAAACCTTTTTTGCTCTCTACAGGAAAAAGTCTCGCTTCTGATACAGGGGATGCAATCATTCATATGATGTCGTGTTATATAAGTTATGCAACCATACATAGCCCCCAAATTGTTATTTACATAACCCTTTAATATACTCTCTTTGTTTAGCAAACTATCGCAAAACCTTTTTCGCTCTCTACTGGAAACAGAAGTCTTGCTATATATATTAATTATGTAATTAATTATAATTCCTTTCAAAATGAATAATTTCACCCTCATATTCATATATTCATGTTAACAGACCTGTAAAGACAATGGATTTGAAAAGAAATTAATCTTGCACAACATGAATATATGAATATGTGCCCCCTCCCCCAATTATCATCTCTCGTACGCCGCTGTTCACCCTTACTCAACCCTAAACCTTTGTTTATAATAACATGTAATTAGAATCAGGTGTCCTCCAGCAAGGGTAAAGGAAGTAAGGCAGCTGGGAGAGGGTGTACCAATAGCAATTACCAAATACATAATATAATCTTAATTTCATTTAGTTGTGTCACACAGTGTTTTTTCAGCCAATTACAGGGAAATTTGTGCCAGGTTCAAAAATTTGCAAAGTGGAATATATATATTTATTTATATATTTATCGAATATTTAGCGTATTACTGCGTATATTTTTTTTATAGTGTTAATTTAAATTCTCTTTGATTTTGAACATAGTGCAAGAGTGAATGCTGTTTCAATTTCCTGGCTGCATATAAATTACTCGAGCAAATATTTCCACAAATGTATAAAACGCAATTTAATATATAAACAATTCAGTTCATAATACACATATTTTAGTATACTTACACTCTCCAGCCGATGACAAGGCAACGGGAAGTTTTGGAATAGACAGAAGGAAAAATATTACAATCAAAATCATCCTTCTATGAGAATATAGAATTTGTCTAGTTGGAAATCCTCCAGTTTTCCTCCTGTCGCTCGTTTGAGTTCGAGTCGGTTTGACCTTAAGTACATTAAGTACATGAATTTGTGTCGAGTGATTACCGCAAACCGGATGTTTCACGGGCTATTTCTAGCATTTCTTGCTCAGCCGCTGGGCTAACACAACGACGTTTCACGTTTTCGCCATTATTTGTTTTCAAGTTTTTTCTTTCTGATATTTGCCTGTATTCCCGAGTTGTATGTGGTTTTAGATCAGAGTTTCTGAGCAAAATGAGCAAGCAGACAGAAAGTGTACCTGACGAAGAACTGAACGTGGAAGAGTTGGACGTAACGTCCGCAGTTCTCATGGCCGGAGCACACCATCTCGGCAAGCAGTGCGAAGAGGATTTTAAAAAGTTTATGGCATGCAGATACGATACCCGGGACCCAAGAAAATGTTTAGAGGAGGGGCGAAAAGTGACAAGCTGTGCTTTAGGATTTTTTAAAACTGTGAAAGCGAACTGTAACGACGAATTCGCCAAGTATTGGACATGCCTGGATCAAAACAATCAAGAATTTGGTTACTGCAGAAAGCTTCAGGGATTCTATGATACCTGTTTGTTGGAGAAAATGGGCTGGAAGACTGAACAACCAGTACATTTGAAGTTATAATATAGTGAAAAGCTGGGGCATTATTAACTTGTTTGAATGTTGACTGAAGTTACCACATGATTTTCCAAATATATATCTTTGTTTTGAGATCTTTAAATATTGGTATGGTGATTATTGGCATTATAATTTTGTCTCTTGAATTATCATGAACACAGGGATGTATGTTCATGAACATAGGGATGTATGTTCATGAACATCGGGATGTATGTTCATGAACATCGGGATGTATGTTCATTGAGGCCAATAAGTTGGAACCAGTTAACACTCCACCACAGCTATCTCTTGTAACCAAAAAGCATTTTCTTTGACAACTGCTTGCATGTGGCCTTAAATTGGAGGATTGCACAAGAAGCTAAAAAATGACAACATTTTGTATTTGGATATTTCGTGAAATGTTTTAAAAAATTACACCTTTCACCCAAAGATAGGGTTGAAATTTTGAATGCCTAAATTTTAGGGTAGTGCCACAGGGGTGAGTTGCAGGCATTTCTTATAATTTTCCTTCATACTACCATTTTTTCAGTGGGGAATAAAAAAAATAGCTTATTTTAGTTTACAATGCCAATATAATTTACTATATGTATGGGGGCTGGTCACAACTTAAACGATCTACATACATCTTTAAAAAACAAAACTTTTATTAAACTTTCTTACAGTACATGTACACTAGCCTGCAATTTCCTGCAAAGTGTCTTTTCTTTAATTTTTGAACAAAGAAATAAATTTGCAGGAAACAGTTTCTGCAGGTAAAAAGAAAAATGTGCTTCACATTTTTTCCAACAAATTACGTGAAAAGGAATGCAGTAACTGCGCAGAGGCAACACGTTGTCCATGAGTGTTTGCTCTTTCCATAAGGAACTCCTCTTGTCCGTAGTTTACCTTGACATTAGAATGGGTATGTAAGGCAGACACTCTCCCTCTTCGAAGCCAACCTCATTAAACGGATACACGGTGTTATTGTACACTCCGTCTAAAGTAAGAAACACTCCATCGGGCCACAGTAAGCCGCAGCCAATTACTGACGGTGCTCGCACGACATCGGCGTTCTTGCCTAGCCATAAGGGAAAGGACATCGTTTGGCCGTCGTGGAACTCGCATGAACAATGCTCGCCCGACTTCTGGCAGTAGTAACCAACATTCCAGGCTCGACGGCCGCATTCCCTAACTTCAGTTTCGAAATACACGCAAGGAATGCCAGAAAATAGATCTAAACAAAAAGATATTCAGTACTTTTGTAATTTTTACAATTCGCCATCTATCACTATACTATGAATTTAATTTAAATCCATCGGGATAGCAATGTTAAAATGTTTGAAAAGTCGCATCAATTTTACTGAGTGAGGTTTGGCTATACCTTTCAACGAATTTTTGTGCCGGCAAGGTAAGGCTTTCTGATAAAAAATGAAGTCTTCCTTCCGCGAAAGCTCATACCACTATCACCATTGCGTTTTTAAAATTCCTCTTGCAGGGTAGATTACGCAGTCTAAAGATCTGTTCGAAAGAAAGACGAACACTTGGGATATAATTAATTTACCTGGAGTGTTACGTGATGACGCCGGCGACCAAAATGGTGATAACGGTGTGATGGGTGTGAATGGTGTGGACGGCGTTGAAGAAGCCCACGACATAGGAGTTAGAGGCGTTGAAGGACGCTCAGAATTGTAGTTCGTGGATGTTGATAACCTTCTCGTCGCCTCGTTTGGACAGGAGCTACTGTTCTCATGACCATGTAGAGACGGCTCACTACTACAGCACCGCTGTAGGCGAGCAATTTCTACAAAAAGGGATTAAATGAGGTTGAAAACCGCCGTGAACAACAATACGTCACGTTAACAGCACGAGTTGATACGTTCTTTCTTCCCATGCAAAATCTACATCATGGCTTGACTAAGAATATACGGAATTTGCTGATCTCGGGAAAAGCAACTTGTGTTACACAATAGTACAACGGTTATAGCTGGCCTGAAATAATTTGACTCTCATCGTAGATTAAGCGAAGAATATATTATAATACATACAGCAGAGTAAAAACTTACGAAGATTCTTTACATCTTCAACGCATTCCTCGTCTTCTTCAGCGATGCTTTCAAAACTTCCCTTTGTATACGACTTCGAACGAGGCCGTTTAAGGGATGCTTTCTTTTCAAACACGTCGTTGACAGCAATATATCCTTCTGGCATGGAGTATCTATGAATATCGAAATCAATTGGAGGGTTTCAGGGGCATTTTGCGCGAGAGGGGTGGAGAAATTGCCCTAAAAAATCGTGATTTCCCCCCATATATCAAATGAGCTATAATGGAGGGGGATGGGGGGGGTTCCCCGGGGGGGGGGGCTCCCCGGGGGGGTTCCCTAAATGGAGAATGTCCTTCCCCCAAATGGACCATCTCCTCGTTCAGAAATTGGGGTGCGCTGAAAATGACCTCCGAGTTGATGCTGTTGGCGAGAGGAAGGAATTCCTTTCAATTCAAAAAATACTTAAAATGAGGGGTAGGGAGCTCACTCGAAACACAAGAATGCAAGAAACTCGAAGTCAACATGAAGATTGCACAAAGGTTCTGTATGAAATGCATGAGTACCTAAATGGTTGATCACCCCCAAAGTTGAAGGAACAATGCTGGTCCATCGCCAGAGAAACAGCAGGGTAGAAATCCAGTTCGGTATTGACATTTTCGAAGGCTACGCCAAGACTCACGCCATTCAACCAAAACTCTATGTCACCGCCCCATGATAATAAACAGCTTACGATGTCGCTTGCTGCCCACATTTCACCATAATCATTGTTTGCCATTCGACACCCTGGACCGTTCCAAACTTTGAGCCGAGCACCGTCAAATGCATAGGAATGTAAATCGTCACCAACACCATTGCCTTTCTCCGGACTGTATTCGCACTTACTCGTTCGGCCAGCCTAGGATTCGTTACAATACAAACGATTGGAGTGATTAATACGAATTCAGTAAAATAATGATCCCCTTAGAGACAGGCCCGAAGACAAAGAGGGTATTTTTTACAGGGGGAATTTTTGTTCTTTTATCGATTTCGAAAACTCGACGATATTAGGCACGTGATCATGACTCAGGTGAATTTAATATTTGAATTTGTGATGATGCTCATCGGTGTTACCAACAGGCCAAGCTGCAAAATTAACGTGACTTAACCAGGAACAGGGTGGAAAGTTAGGCTGATCTTGCGCTAAACCTTACAGGGAACATAAAGGCGACATAAGAAACGGTCGCTTGAAAATTTCAGGGACTAGATTGAGTTCTAAAATATTAGTTATTCGAACCTTTTTGACTAGCTCAATGTTTAAGGGCCATAATCATGTAAGTGTTAATAAGTCATCTATCAGGCCATTAATTAGTTATACGTGAAAATTGACAGTACACAAAAAGCTGAGTTTTAAACAAACAACCTCGCAAGCCAGGCTCTTTTACCTACGCTCCACGGCCCACGCTGCGGCAAAGACCCTGGTCAAGGCTGGTCATGTGACCTCCCAAAATATGGGAGGTTTTTAATTAGCGCTTAGTTCATATCCATGGGAGGAGTGGCAAAGTCGATATACCATTTCTGCTATTTTTAGCACTTGTCACAATCCAGATGACTTTGTACTAACGCAACCAAAAATAGCGGTTCACGCAATAAAGTTGAATAAACTAAATAAATACAGCTAGTGTGGCGCAGCAAAAAACTAAAAAGAGCAATAAACCGAATTTAGATTCAAGTGCTATGTGTAGACTGTATCATCGTCGATAGAATCGGTTTTAGTATCGTCACAAGTTCAGTTGATATTCAATACAGACACTCGAAGGCCTGCGCTATCTTCTAAATTTGGGCGTTGATGAGCAAATTTAGAGGTCAAATAACAATAACGACACAGGTTATTTCGCTTTGCGGTACAACAGCGCTCAATATTCAGTCCTTAGAAACACGCTGTTTTAACTAATGTGATCTATGCGCTACTTGTGTCCCACCCATCCCCACACGGGAGAAGCGTAACAAAAGAATCACGTGACCAGCCTTGACCAGGGTCTTTGCCGCAGCGTGGGCCGTGGAGCGTAGGTAAAAGAGCCTGGCTTGCGAGGTTGTTAAACAAACCGGTTAACGACCGTTTAGAGAGAGGTTGATCACCTCCTTTAAAAACAAATCTTTTATTTAGTCAGGTACATACATTATTGCAAGCAGAGCCAGAGGAATTTATTTCGTCGAAAGGTGCGAGATCATGCTAGTCTGAGATATATGATAAATATACATTAAGTCATAGAGGAAAATTGCATGTGCTAGCTAAGTTTTTACTTCCCACTGTAGGACGACTTTTCTCAAAAGAAAAACGTCAACGTAAACAAGAGATTTGACTACGAATAAGACTTTTTTGCTAAACAAGTTTCTTATTCTTAAGTTATCCAACTTCTTCTTTTTCAACATCATTCTTGTGGAGACACATGTGATCCTGAAGTTCTTTGAAATTACCACAACAACATCCACAGAGAGAACAGACACTCCATGTATCATCGCTCGTTTCTATTTCCTGGCAGAAACTACACTGATAGGACACAACGTTACCATTTTTGTCCAGTATTGGATGGGCAAACTTTAATAGCACCTCACCCCATCACCGACCCAACCTTTTCTTGCAAAATTTGCGATCCTGACAGTTCCTTTCCACAAGTTTTGCATATTGCTTCGTCTCTATGATAACGCATCAAGTGAAATTTATGACTTTCTATATTCGGAAATTTAGATGTGCAAATATTACATCCATAATTCGGCACGTCTATGTTTCTGCAAAGTTGTTGACGTCGTAAATGTCTTCTTGCACACATCACACTCATATTTAGGCTCAGCAACATGTTCTAGTTTATGAACTTCTAAACTTCTCGAGAACAAAAAGCTTTTTTCGCACACATCGCATTCAAACAAGATGGGGTGTACTTTTTATTCGAAGCAGGAAGGTCAGAAAATTTTGCCAGGTAAACATCACAATGATTGGTCTTGTCATTATCCACCGCATTATTTGATATCAGAACTGTTGAGTTGCCATTTATGGACTGTTCAACAGGTTTTGGTGTTATGTTTTGGGGCACAGGGCTTTGTTTTGGTAGTACCTCATTTTAGCAAGAGCATTATCTATTTGGGTCAAGGATTGTCTATTGTCCAATGGGTCTGGCGTACTTTCACCATGATCTGTTGAGAAAAAGTTGGCTTGTTCAGGTGGTCTCATCGACTTTTCAGATCCATTTAATGGTTTTGGTAAGATCTTCCTAATACGTTTAATGAATGGGTGACTCTTTTTATGTCCTGCATAGTCGCTTAAATTTGAAAATGCTTTATTGCAAACATTGCACTGGTACTTTTTATAGTGTACCACCATAGGCAGCTGAGGTGGAAACCTTCTCTTACAAATATCACATTCATACAGTCTAACTTTACTTTCTATCGGTACATAAACATGTTTTGGTTCTGAAAAAGCTGTTTCTTTCATCAATGGAGTTAATGGTTTTGGTAATATATATCTTGATTTGGAGAGTTCAGGGTGACATCTCTTGTGTTTTACTAAAGTTGATAGTCTTAAAAATCGTTTCTTGCACACTTCACATTCATATGCACCAGTATGTGTACTTTTGTACATATTAAATACACACAATTTTGAGAATTGTCTTCTCCAAATATCACATTCATATGATTTTATCTGATTCTCCAGTGGGTGCATGTGTCTTGAGTGCTCAACCAAATGGATGACAACTGGAAAATTGTCCCCTACAAATGTGACATTTTTAAGGATTTATATAAGTGTTATTTGCATCATTATATATATAAACATCACAATGGACATATGGTTTTCCCCTAATGGATGGTGTTATATGATAAGGTACTATCGTATGAATTTTGATAACTATGTCTGATATTGGGCTTTGTGCTTGTGATTTATATTTTACAGTAGTATTGGCATACCGGTATATGTTTATTATATATAGTGAATGAAAATATAACTTTTATTAATACACAATGTCCATAACAAACCTTGTGCACATACAAAGGGCTTGCCTTCAGGGTGTGTTTTCAGTGGAGAAGGATAAACAAATGCAAAGAGACTTTTCAACCGGTGCCTTATGGATTGGAAAATAATTTAACATAACTGAAAAACATCAGGGCCCCCATCCTGACTAGCTTGTATTCTTTCTATTCCAAACAAATTTGGCTGTTCTATAAACCATACTGCATGTATTCTTTGTGTAGATTATCTCTAATCATCCTTGCGAACACCACATTTATGATTGGTATGTGTCTTTCCCTACAAATATTACCTAATACATCTACATGGATGATTGGTTGATAACTTGATAAACAATTCAGCGACTTACCAGTATTGTGGTGAGAATCAACTCAGCACAAAAGCATTGTTAATGATTGGTTATAACAGGACGATAATAACAGGACGAATGATTGTTATTATTCCAATTTCCAAATGATTCTAATACCAGTGCTTCCACTACCAAAGCCATAACTTCTTCTCAGAAAAAATATCAGCAACAGACATTTGTAAAATACCAACGATATGAGCAGTCAGAAAATTTATTGCGCATGCTCCAGTTCATTAACCGGGTTTTTAAAGCGATTTTTGAATGAAAAACTTTTGCATTGACAAACTTCATCATTTTTTTTTAATTCCGCTATTTGAATGAAAACACTAACTGACTCGCCTTTTAAAACATCAAATATAATTTCACTGACCAACCACTTACCTATTTGCATGATCCCTTGAGTCATCAATTGTACTTCATAATACCATCCAGCAGGTTTAGGTGATCCCGATGTGTACTTGCGTCTACCAACTGCAGCATTTGCATGGACGCTTTCGAACGTCCAGTGAAAGTTGATGACCTCTGTTTTGTCGGAACTCAATATCAGCGCCTGTGTTTTCTCTTTACCATTAAGACATACAGACGGTCGCTCTACATCAAAGACAAAAAATCTAATAGCCTTGCATAATACTGCAACACTATCATCATACAAGTATTTGCATGGATAATGCGGACTCACCTCTAAAGCTGAGTTATGAGGCTTTTGAACAATTGTTTAGCGATATTTATCTCACTTCAGATAATTGCAGAAATTCCAGGCAGGCAAATACAATGACACCTGGGGAGAAACCCTAACTGACGAGTTTATCATCTTATTATATGCATACCCTGTACCTGGGTGTACAATGAACGACTTTCTTCTATTTGCATGACTCGTGATGATGTTCTCAATGGGAATTGATATAGCTCTTTTCAATTCGTCTTTACATGTGAGTAATGTACACCAGAGAACATTTACAGACAATGAGATGAAGATAGAGTCGTCAGCTAATTGAAGCCTCTTGCTGCTGTGAAACAGTATGGTAACAGCCAATTGTGTAAGGCTGGCAAAAGATTCTTCCAAATCTTCATAATTGCACTTCGTTTCGTCATGTGAAATTTCTTCCAAACCTTGCATGGGTGTGGGCGTCGCTGGACTGTCCGTCACTACAAGTATATATTAACATGTGACGTGTATAAAAATACAACCTCAGAATTTCTCACTTTGTTTCTGAAACACTAAAGAAAGAGTCGTACCTGATGAAAACGGAGTCTTTTCTTCCACACCAGGTATGGGATTTCTGAGAAACGACAGCTCGCTGTTCCTCGCGCTTTTCCGAGTTTCTGTCTTTTCATTTTGGACGTCCAACGAAGTATCATTGATGAAGAACAGAAGACGCAAAACCTCTTTCAAGACACCATGCCTAGCACATCTATATGTGACGTGACGTTTGGAATAGAAACAACGGACATCATAAATCTTTTTATGCCCAAGAACCACAACTGTCTTACAAAACAATTGTTGAATCGGGTTGAACATGATATGAAGAATTATCAAACTGATGTTTGTCGTTATTAACCAAAGCCATAGGCTGGAATTGATAATCATCGTTATGACGTCATAATGTCAATGAAAAAAGTCGTATCCTACAGTACGTTATGACATCACTCGTTGGACATGACGATTTCACACATAGCTTTTAGACAATCGTGGACTTTAAATTTTCTCTTTATATTTTTTGGCAGGACAGACAGTGGTGTTTGGCTAAAGGCTCGTTTACACTTCCAATTTTTGATTTTCTTCTTTTGATAGATGTGAACGAGTGAATTAGTCACTGATCTTCAAATAAGGGCTCATCAGAGCATTCGAAACTAATTACTCGTTCACATATGTCCAAGGGAGAAAATCGCACACAAAATTGCAGCAAAAATGGGAAGTGTAAACGGGCCTTAAGGGATACTCAGCTGATCAGGCGACTCTTGTAGGCGTAATTTGCGTTGTCAGGCTGAACAGTGCGGTATAGACTACAGTATATTTTGTCACAATACATTATATTAAAATGAACTGTACCTTTCTGGTGCCGTATCGGATATAATCAAACCCGCCACTGTCCTCATCGCGCCAAGGCAATGCGCAACTAACATCGTATTTGAGCGTAAATCATCCAACGACCGTGAAGCCATGTTCCAAATAATTTGAGCCATATATGGAAGAAATCCTTCTCTCTCTAGCAAAACTACCAGAAAGCAATCAATGTTAAAGAGCAATATTCATGATTACAGTAAGCTTGAGGATTTTAAGATCTATATTTATCCGATAAATACACGCTTCAATAGTAAACGAATGAAGGAAATTCAAGCAGCTAAATTGATCATTCGCTCCTATAAGATGAGATAAGATTTTTGCAATAATCACTTCATTATTATGGACCTTGTCATAAGGTGACTTAATGTTTATAATGAGATTATATAATATGCACCATAGAAATGTTTTATGGAGAAAAAAAATTACGACGCAAAAATTACGATGCAAAACCGCACACAATAGTGACAATACATGCCATTGTTGAAATATACATACCAACTCGATGACTGTCGTGCCTGGCGAATATTGTTGATAATGTCAGCTCAGAGACTTTGCTGATGCCACTTTCAGGTGGAGTGCTCATTAATATATCGATCAAAGGTTCCATTATTAGAGCATTCACTTGGTCATTCACGAAGCTACCTATATATAGATAAAAGATGTGAGGCCAGTATTAGAACTAGAAATTTCTAATGCAACCACTCGTAGTTTTGTGAATTACCATTGGTGCATGAGAGGGTGAGACAATGAGAAAAACTAATGCATTTCATTTGCCAGTTTTCCGCAATGCTGTATTCGCAGAAGTTAAAAACATATAAGTCTTCTTTCATTTGCATATTAAAATGCGTCCTTATCGTGCGAAAGAAATTAAAAGTATGCTCTCTAACAGTCTAACTGCGCATGCGTCCAGTTGGACACAAGAGTACTCTCAAATTTACTCATCCAGACTGCGAATACAGCTTTATCCGGTATTAAACTGTCGTCGAATACGCAAATACATAATTATATGGGAGTATATAAATTTCTAGCATACATATACCAGTACCTCTGGGAATACAGACTTTTAGATCAACGCTATCGTATCCATGTCTAAACTGTGGTTCTCTGAAACATTCCATACCATAGCGCTTCTGACCGGAGAACACCCACAGCTCCCCCGTCTCGAATTCATATTCAGGAATACCAACGCTGTCTAAGGCAGCTTTTGCTTCATCTAAAAATGCACAAATATTATTCTTGTAGCTATACAGTATCATGAAGAATTTAGATAAATCGGACATGACGCACAGATGAGCAGTACAGAAAGAATGCAGAGTAGTTAAGTAATGCAAACCACATTGACGAATTAACGAATTATTAAGCTTACTTGACAAAAAGAAATTCCCTTCTCCCCGAACGACAATAAACACTATCGACAACAAAGGTAACGAGTGGATATACTCTGCCAACTTAATGGACGCGTCTGGAAAATGCCCAGTATCGAACGACTCTGTCTCCTCGACATTCAAAGTAACTGGATCAAGCACTACCACATTGATACCCAGATCATTGCGACAGTGTTCAATGCCATCCACTGCCACGCTACATGACGCGCTACTCGAAGACTTCAGATCGACGTTTAAAGGACTGTCTGCAATACGAAAATATACAGACAATGATTAATCAAATAGTATTTGCCCTCTAAAGTCTCACGGGCTAAATTCACGTATGCGTGAATTTGCAGAACGCGCTTAGAAAATCGCTGGTAGGAGCTTGTCACGAGATCTGCATACATCGAAATATTTCAACTTTATCGTTATACAATAAATATCTGTCAGGTTCTGTAGACCATGCACATGTGAAGTTTCTATCAGATTTTCTTTTCGAAGGAAAAAAGACTGGGATGTTCTAGATGTTCATTTTTTAGAACATTTCCCAAATGGGTGCAAGGTTACAATTTGAAATCACTCCTCCCAACAAGTGTTTCGGAATCCTGCTGTCAAAAGTGAGTGCCTGTGCACATGCAATTCAATTTACATACACACAACCATTGATGGAAACAAATTCCGGATTGTGTTATAATACAGAAAACAAGAATGTGTTCTTCTTTATTCCATACCTAAAAAGCCCAGCATAACCAAAGTCTTTGCAGCCTGAGTTGCAATCTGCGGCTCATCAGTTTCACTGAGGGCCAGATCGATAAGTACTTTGACACCGCCACTTTTAATTATTTCTTCTTTCGGTACATCGGCAGACATTGATAGATTGAGAAGCAGCGATGTTGCCCAGAGTTTCATATCGATATCAGCCATCATGGATAACTGCAGGACAGCTTTCAGAGCACCTGCTTTGACCACTTGGCACTGGATTGTCTCTATCGGCAAATGATTTTAACGCGGTTGGTTGAAAAAGCAAAATTTAGGCATTAAATGTCGCATTTCTGATATTGACAGGACCTTAGAATTTACAAAAAGGGCAGAGTTTTAAGGTAATTGCGACCACTATACTGTAGATAAACTGTTCAAGAGCTGTTGCAACAAAGGTAGTGTTCTTCCCAGGCCAACCTTACTGTACCATGTGGGGATCCACGGGTATCTCAACCGATCAGATCGCATATTTATATTATAACCCATTATTGTGAGTACGTAGCTGTATCATTCGTAATACCACTTACCAATAGAGCAGAAAAATCCCAATGTTTCGGCGATGTAACGACACATAGTGTTAGCTTCTTGGTTGAATACGTTCCTGCCACACATTTCCACCAATGCTTCGACTAACCCCTTCGAGTGCTCATATAACAACTCGATGGCTTCCACGCCTAAATATAATTTATAAGAAGGGAAATGAGATTCATTTTTCCGCCATTAACTTGATCCAGGGTATGGCAAAATAAATTACTACAGCTAAAAATCGCAATCACATTGGTAGACTTGGTAGCTTCTTTTCTATAAATCTTCTTTCGAAATCCATATATAACTACATGTAATAGCGTTTGCAATAACTGGCGTTGTAGTGTACCGAAAACGGCTGACAGAACGAAAAACACCTCACTCGACCATCAACAGAACCTGATTCGTATATGTGCGAATCTATGCAGAAAGACTCCCCAAAGTCTACCTATTTTCTCCCCAGTTCTGGGCGTACGCATTAGTTAAGGTAGTGTTATTAAGATGATATTATAAGAATATAAGATGAAGTAACGGTACGTGAGAGGTAAGACTATACAGGACTAAATTCTTTTATGCAGACATCTCCAAGTCACTCTTGTAAAATCAGATTGAAAATGAAATAATAAGGCAGAACTCAACCTTACCTGACTTAGCAATATCATGAATAAGATATAATGACCAAGAGGTGACGTCACGGTCGCCCGAAGCCAGGCATATTGGAAGACGTGCAAGAAGCTGCTTATGACGTATAATTTTCTCTCTAAAATCGTCCGAACTTTCAGACAGGAAACGCAATATCCGAAGAACCAATCTCTGAATGCTGGCCTCACTCGAGACGAGAACACTGCTCAAAGACCTTAATAGTATTGGGACGGCACAGATATCAGGTAAGCCAACATCAAGGGCAACAAATTCATGCAGAAGACCAACTGCCCAATAAATAAGCTCATGATCATCTGAAAAAATAGGGATGCTAAAAATTAACTATTGGCTGTCTGCATATATATATATATATATACACCCATTTGCAAAAACGTTGGCCGCAGATAGATAGATAGATAGATACTCGAAGTCTAATTAGAATTGGGTATGAATACATTTGCATGGGATTTCAATCATATCGGCACAACATATGCAATTCTAATTAGATTTCGGGTATCTATCTATATATCTATCTGCGGCCAACGTTTTTGCAAACGGGTGTATATATATATATATATATATATATATATATATATATATATATATATAAAATCAAAGTGTATATCATGGTAATGCCAGGAACAGGTGAGGGTAAATAAATTCCACTCAAAATTAAAACTCTTCAACTTCTAATATATATAAATATATATTTTTATATTTAACTACCTATAGGTATGTAATCTAGCATGGTTTATTTGTTTAGGAAATCAAAAAAATAATTAGTTCCTAATTAGAAGCCAATACCCAATCTCTTGACATGAAAGAAAATGGTTCTGCTGTACATACCCGACTTAAGACAACCAATTGTTGGCATTATAACTCCATAACTTCTAATCTCATTCAAAACCTTTTGCTCTTCGTTTGCGATCAAAATATTTGCCAATGTGACAAGTACCTGGAATGCAAGCCTCATCTTCACAGGCTCACCTTGCCTCTTAACAACAACCTTGGAAACAACCTCGATAATGACCCAGTGTTTGCTTAACTCATCTCTGGTGTGTTCACACACTGCAATTTGATGGATTATAAACAAACCCAACTTCTCGATCTCCCTGTTGTTTGTCTCTTTCATTATAGCTAGGATTGTGGGCAAAAACGATGGATTTTTGTCCAGTAGCCTAATTTTAGGAGCATCATTATCTACCATAGATATCAAGTCAAAAATTGCCACACAACAAAGGTGTTGAATTTTCATATAATTATCGCTGATGTCTCCTTTATTTTTTCGTGCCCACGAGCGGTAGGTTGCATGGGATAATGCTTCTAGTCCTCCAAAATAGACAAACCTCGCCCTACACTTGGGGTTCTTTGTAAGACTTTCTATAACAGTGCAAGCTTTTATTACACTCTCTTCGTTTTCGGCATAACAAAGTTGAATTAAAAATTTCAAACGTTCGGGTTTTAATATACGAGCTATAAGGAGGTCACGAGCACATTGCCTAATACTAACATTAGATACTTCAGATAGTTTCGTTAGTGTTTCTAGGCTAATTTTGTCTGTCAACTGCGCAAGTGTTGCCCTTCTGCAAGATTTACGCAACAAGTTCCGCAATGAAAACAGTGTATATACTGTCCCGGCCCCACCAAGAAGTCCCGCAGCAAGTATGACAGCATTTTCTCGATTTAATTCCATTCTTGCGCACCAAAAAATGCTTGTATTTCAATAAAGAAAGTATTATTCAAATATTCAAACATCAATGTTTTGACCGCCATTTTAAAATATTTTCCCATGTGTGTGTTTCCACATGCGAAGCGAATATATCATAATTATATCAAAACGACTTCACAGAAATTATTAACGGCTAATAAAAAACTGTTCAGTTAGAAGATTGAGAAATTCTTGAAGCGTATTGTTGCAATATGCAAAGCAAGGAGGATATGTGAAAAATGTGAACATTGTATCTCCGTAAATGTAAGATTTGTATCGTCGAAAAGCATGCAACGGTCACAGGAACCGATTTTCGACTGAGGAACTTCCTCCTGGCTTCTTGAAAGGCCCAATTCGACACGAGCGACTTTCACTCCGGCCGCGTGAACGATTTAAGAAGCATTCTAAACATGAGGTTTTCTCCTATTATAAATGTTTTCAAAATCTGCACCATTGTTTTTCATTACGTATTGATTTTGCAAAATGTTGCATGCGTACCGGACTGTACCCTAGCCGTTTGCGATCTGTCGCAATTTAAGTCTTGCTGAATTTATCATCTATCTTGATTTGTCATTAGGAACATATGGATGACGAAGATACTGTGAAAATTCGTCTATTTTATCACATCCTCGAACTTCGTGTGGAAGAAGCGGTAATTTGGTGACGTGAAAGTCTTCATAAAGGTCGTCAATCTGAAAAGTTCAGGACATGTTTTTATAGAGTATAGACGAATAAGATGATACTCTAAATTTTACAACAGTAAATACTGAAACTAATAAAAATTCGACCTGGTCAATGAAAGTTAACACTTAGTTAAAATTTAGTGACGCTTAGTGCTATCAATACTACAGCTATACTATTGAATATACTGTACAGCACTGTGGGAAAATGTGAAAATAAGTGAAAAACAACTTCATGTAAATTGATATTTACACTATATTCTATTTCTATTCTATATTATTTTCAAACCGAAATACAGTCAAAATACTTGGGGGATTCAGCATGAGGACGTGAACGTCAAAGGTGACGTGAAAATGGCTAATGGCGAGGAATGTCTATATATAGACGCATCACGCCATTTATTCGCCACTTTCACGTCCTATTTCACGTTCACGTCCTCGTGCTAAATCTCCCTATTAACGTTGATTGCTGTTAACGTGGACTGATTCGGTTCAATTTTTCGGACTTAGATTATATCCCTGCTTCATGTAGGTATACTCCATGACCATGCATTTATTCCTTTTCTCCAAAACAAAGTGAATGCTCTACTCATACACACCTGTTCCAAATACTTTGCTTGGATTTTCCTTCTAGCTTCGCATAACTTACAGGCGTCTAGTGTTTGTATAAATATATTGATAAAAAATTCTTTAGAGGAATGATTGTAAAACCAGCAAATCATAAGGGGGTTACAGCGACTTGAAGTTATGTCAATGAACAGGCTTGTCTCGTGACAAGATGACATCAAGCTTATATTCGTGCATGAGTAGCTATATATATAGTACAGTAAACTGCCCTGTGCTTAAATTTTCCGGGAACGGGTACTGTACGAGGGTCACTGCTTACAAACCTTTCCTATCTTCATTTACGTATACTAGCTGATTCACGATGATGTTGTGAGTGTCGATGTCAGACTTGGCTAATTCTTGAACCAGTCTCTCGGTTTCGTACAAAGAAAGGAATTCCGATATACAAACGCAGACAAACGTGGTGTGTTCCTAGTAAAAAAGTACCACATTTCGGCTTAGGGTTGGCAGTCGTGCATTATTTCTTATTTTTTTTTAGATAATATACTGTAAGGTTTATTTTGAGCATGAATATTCTTATATATATCTTCTTATATTATAAGTTGCATATTATTTGATAGTGCATACCGTATTCAAGTAAAAAAGGTTACGTTAAAATGTATCATTTATACTTATGGGGTCATATCTTTTTAATGGTAAGTAAGATTAGAACTAGATTTTACTTATTTCTTATATCTAGATTTTACTTCAATCTTCTTATATCCAACCCTGATACAAATGTAACATAAATTTACCGCATTCTTCAGTTTTGCACTGACGTCTTTAATAACGGGCATACTCTCCTCTAATTTATTCGTCACCATGCTGGGATCAGCATCCCTTACACCCAGCAAACCACTAAACTGAAACACAATTACTATTTCAGCCAAAAGTAACAAGGCTTATACGAAAGGGCGTCAAAGCTTTGCCTTTCCTTTAGTTTGTTATTATCATGTATAAGACACCCGCTTTCAAGCAACGCAGAAAAGCTCTTGCACATCACAATGCCGCTCATATGTAACTGATGTTGCGTTTTCTGCTCCATTAGAGGGGTTTGTTTCACAATTATACAGTCGCATGTAAGTTCTATTTGATATTTCACGCAAAGAAATAAGCTACCCTACCAGGCTGTACACAGCGAGGGGATAGGGGGAGGAAAAAATGCAACTTAGAATTTTTAGAAGTTGTATGTTATGTCCTGTTTATAAAAATAAACTGTACCCTATTCAACAAAGATCACTGCCCCCCAGCCCAGAAATTCTGCGTACGATCCTGTACCCTACATAGTCCCACTCACTTCATTGGGAAGATTAAGGCTCTAGTTTTGCCTTATACAAAATACCTGACTAAATATCACGGAAAAACATACTTGATTTATTATTGGAGTGAATTGATTTTTAATTTGAAGGAGTTTCCCCAGCGAGTTTTCTATCAGTGATGGAAATGACAGCAACCTTAATGTGTGCCCTGTAGGAGCAGTGTCAAACACAACAACAGAAAAATCCATGTGTGTCACCAACCTAGGAAAAAAAAGGTTAAAATGGTAATGCAAATATTACCAAGCACTTAATTGTTTATTTCTGTATACTTATTTAGCATTATACACCACATGCTCAAGTTCCATACCAATTACCAAGTGTAATTAATAAGTAACATTACTTGAGCATTAGCAAAATAATATGCCATAGTATACTACGATACCTCATGACTTCTGCAAAACTCATGGCTTCATCAATACCAGGAAATGCTCCAAGAAAATCTTGAGCAAGGCGTTTTCCAAGGCTAACTGCATCTGTAATTAATAATTTTGTCAAAGATAATTAAGGGGCATTCACTTATTGTCATGATACCAGTTATTATTTGAACTATACCTGGTTCATCAATAAAATCATCTGGTAATTGAGAAAAGCCAAGATTGGGATCAATTTCCTGTTATGCAAATTATTACAAAAAATAAATTTGAATGCCAGAAGCAAAAGGAAAATTCATTTAAAACATAGATTATTGTTTAACTCTAATGACAAAATTTAAGACATATGTTGCAACATTAACTCTTGAACTAATTAGTTGCTTTTGCTAATTTGATGCACATGAATACAAAATTAAAAAAATTATCTTTATGGCTTCAACACAGTGCTAATAAATCTAAAAATATGTTTTTATAGGACTGAAACACTTACCATTGCATAAAGGTTTGGACATTTTTTAACAGCTGTTGGGGTTTTGCCAAATTTCTGATTGAAAGCATCTGATATGTTGTGTGCAGGATCTGTCGATATTATCAAAACGTTCTCACGAACCTTGGCTAATGACAATGCAAGACTGCAGCTAAAAAATAATTGACATGATGTTGTAATTCACTCAGCAATCATGCCCATATACATTTCTGTTCAAAATGCCAAACTGATATTTTCAATCATAAACGTCAATTTGATGTTGTGTGTAGGAATGTGAGAGTAGACTTTGCTACTAAAAATTGAATTTTCATTGAATTCACATCAAAATTAACACTGAACAAATAATAACAACCAAACTGCATACTAATTCATATTCATCTATAAAATTTTTGTTTGTGTTCAACAAAAAATAAAGGATCATTTCCATTTTGAACCCAAAATATGGACCAAAACAAGACAAGAGAAAAAGAAAGTTGACATTTTCTACTAATGTACTATGTTTCTATATGTACCGTACATACACAGTAAAAATAATGTTAATAAGACATTTGCTGACACTTTCATATGGCATAACATCAAAGCTGTGGATAAGACCATGTATTATATTGTACGTAAATTTATTCTGTCTGATGATGATTCTGTCTAATCTCATCTTTACACGTCATGATCTCATCTTGGCTAATCCTGTGATCCATAATAATATTTCAGGTTTCAAGCAACAAGGAATATAATGAATATTCAAAGTATTGTAAACTTAATTGAGTTTAAAATCACTTTTAGTACTGACCTACATGTAGTCTTTCCGACCCCACCTTTCCCGCCAACAAATATCCATTTTAAACTAGTTTGTTCAAGAATATTATTGATCGATGGATCAAGCGGTTCCAAATTATCCACATCTGGAGCGGACGCCATCTTGGGTTTTTTTTCTTCAACTCCAGTACGATCAGTTCGTATGCAGATCAGTGTTAGAGAGGATTTTAAAGTGAACTCTGATTTTGTATATAGCCTCACTGGATTGGATCATTTTGGTGGATCCAATAGTCAATTAATCAATCAATCAATCAGCCAACCAATCAATCAATCAATCAATCAGTTAATCAATCAATCAATCAATCAATAGACCTTTTCGGTAAATACGTCACAACATTTTAATGTCACAAGGTTTTAAATTTAGAACCACCTTAAATGAAATGGATTTCAAGTTTTACTCTCAGATGTAAGATGTAAAAGATGTAAAACATCCTTCTTCAACACATGCATGAAAAATATTTTTTTTATTTTGACCAATAAATGTAGAAGTAAGCCATAACACGAGAACGAGGCTCAGGGGCCAAGACTGGGAGCCTCTTTTTCGCGTTATGTCGTCATCCCATACTTATTTGTCAAAATGAAAAATTCTTTTTCATGTATGTGTTGAAGAAGGATGTTTTGCATCTTTGCACGTGGCTCGTGAGTTTAAAACCTGAAATCCATCTCATTTAAGGTGGTTGTAGGTGGAATATTTTGTACGATTTGCCACTGGACGGAGGTCATTAACTTTTATTGTATTTTCATCGAAAATTATCAATGATAATTTATCAATGTATCATTGAACCTAACATGCAGTATCATTACAAACTACTACATTAGGATTTAATCACTCAATATGTTAACTAGAATAATCTCAGAGTGGTGTGTGCTATATATAATCAAATACCCATACAAAATTTGAAATAAAGCAAAATTATTTATTACTGGAGCCAACTGATCTTGTATGTCTGAAGTATGTATGGTAGAATTCAAATGGCGAAAATTTTGCCTCCCAACAGTCGCGTATAACTGATCCGAGGTATTGTTTTACATGAAAAATAATGCCCTCTGTCCAGTCTGACCAATCATCCCTTGTCACAGTTATACGTGGTTCTCCATCAATCGATCGAACCGCGATAGCATTTTCACGAGAACCAGACCAAAAACAGCAGCTCATGTGATCACCGTAACACGTAATTTCCATATTCTCACGAATCCAAACCTTGGCTTCGGTGACAATCAGACGTGCCTTCACCATCACATTTCTGCATTTCAGGCAACTTTGTGGGCAATAGTCAACGTACTGGAGGCAGTATTTTGAAGTAAGTGGTCATACCAATTATTCATCTGTTTTAGTTTCAAGCTAACAATCTTCGCACAGTTTGCAATATTGCAAAACTAGTTCTTAATTCAGTCAGTTCTTTTGACTCCCCAAATTTTCACTATCATGTGTATAATTATACCTGGATTTTTTAGTGTAGAACCTGGATATATAAACAACTTAACAAACTATATTACACTTCACGCTTCGACTAACTCTAAAACATCCTTTCATTTTTAAACATGTCCTCTCGGCCCAGGCCACCGCGCATACCTAATTTTAGTGTGCAGTGATAACCAATTTGTGCAGTGATAAAAGTAGAATGTGCAGTGATAAAATGAGAAATGTGCAGTTATAAATGGTGATTCCCCAACAGACCTCACTCTGCCAAGGTATTGGAAACTGTTTATCTTGATTTTAACAAAGGGGGGGGGGAGGTGTCTCAGCAGGGTATGGTTTTAGGTCCTTCCCTATGTTTTCACTAATGGTAAACGATACAAAACTTACTGATCCACAAAATAAGCTATTACTTGGTCCTCCAGTCAATTCAAGATCAGCTAACAGAGGCTGAAGTGGAATACAGAATTGGTCAGAAACAAATGAAGCTTTCCAAAAGGTGGGAAATGGTTTTGCACGGTAGTTCTATCATTGAACTATTATCATCACCGATTGAAGGCATAGAACGAGAAAATGAGCTATTTTATTACTGCATGTGTGGCCTCTACACAACAAAACAAATATTTAGATCGTGCAGATAAGTTCTTCCCGCTGGCCTATCGTTAAGGCCATGATAACAAAGAATATCAAGATATCTGAAGTTATCGAAGAAAGAAATATAACCATGCGCTATGTAATTGCCTTCTATGCATAGAAGCTTAAGAAAAAGAGAACATAATTTTTCCTTCCTCCAAAAACTGGACGATTCAAACGATCCTTTTTGAATAGATGTCTTTTTAACTATTTTTAACATGTACATAATTAATTAATTAATTAATTATAAAATATCTAGAATATATAAATTAATATATACGATTTTACTCATTTTTAAATGCTATTTCGAGCTGTACCTCTTAGAAATGATTATTTTTTTAGCGTATTTCAATATAGCTCAGTGATAATTATATACATTATTACTATGCCTAATTGGATAGCGCGCGTTTTTTTTAACTCTCGCAACATTCCCGCGGGTTTGGATCGGGCCATCCAAACACGGCAACCATTTAGTAATTGCTTATTAATCTATCTAATAACTTAAGGCCGGCGCACACTAGAGCTATGTGCTTAGCAAAAAGTCATTCGTGGCCATCGGCGTAAGCCAGTTGCTCTCGGCAGCGTGCGGGCGACTTTTCCGGCGACTTTTGGCACGAATGACGAAAGTCACTGGAAAAGTCGCCCGCACACAAGAGCAACTGGCTTACGCTAATGGCCACGAATGACTTTTTGCTAAGCACATAGCTCTAGTGTGCGCCGGCCTTTATCCAAACACGGGCTTCGACCAATCACTACACGCATACCCGTGGTATTTTGTTAAAAAGATCTTGACTGCTTGCATTAATTTTACTCTTCAGTGACCTTACTATTAGTCTCGACACTGCGCATTTTCAAAAAACCTTTTCACAAAGACCCCCCTTTAGGTAAAGAATTTTGTTGACATAAAAATATTTTTCTGTTGTTTCACCTTATAGTTTTGTATTTGTAATCCCTCGCTAAAATAATACAACACGACTGAGTACTGGTGTAGATTATGATTGCGTAAAATACAAGCGTGTATAATTAATTAACACAATAATGCACTGATAATGATATTCTAGCCGACTTATTATTTCATTATATTTGTAAAATTTTACACCCCGCCTGAACGAGGCGGGATTTCCCCGACCTCCCAGATAAACCGCGCGTCTCATATGAACAGGCCCTTATAGCGAGCCAATGTTAAAAGGCACTCTATCATATCTCTACAAATACCGAAGAGATATAATATATACTTGTAATTGCCTTTCAAAATTACCAAAACTGCCTCTGGTGTTTTAAAATCCTTACGGTTTATGATCTTGTATGTCTGAAGTATGTATGGTAGAATTCAAATGGCGAAAATTTTGCCTCCCAACAGTCGCGTATAACTGATCCGAGGTATTGTTTTACATGAAAAATAATGCCCTCTGTCCAGTCTGACCAATCATCCCTTGTCACAGTTATACGTGGTTCTCCATCAATCGATCGAACCGCGATAGCATTTTCACGAGAACCAGACCAAAAACAGCAGCTCATGTGATCACCGTAACACGTAATTTCCATATTCTCACGAATCCAAACCTTGGCTTCGGTGACAATCAGACGTGCCTTCACCATCACATTTCTGCATTTCAGGCAACTTTGTGGGCAATAGTCAACGTATTTATCTACAATTCGATGCGTCACTGCCGGATTACATCTAATTTCCTCGGTTCTATTTAACTAATAAAACACAATTAAAATTTTGCTCATTATATATAGTTACGGCGTTCAAAAACTCTAGACGGCTGATCCCTGTGTTTTCATCAGCGTTGTTGAATAAAGAGAACTAAAGGAACGAAGCAACAGTAAAGATTACCTGTTCAGCCATAGTAATATATGAATCGGGTACCTTTCCCAGTTGAACAAGCTGAATTTCTTTCAAGTGGGTAAATTAAGTGGGCATCTTAATCTTTTGCAGTGCTTTGTATAGACGTGGTACGGCAACAGCACTGGCTGTTTATATGATAAAAAAGTGCGTCAATTGCGTTTATATGTATGATTATGCAAAAGATTATTTCGCTTACAAAAGAAATACGTGGGGCAGAACGAACATATGAAAACGCACGCCACACGCAACCCCAATTATTTGTCCGTGTGTATAATGAGCGTATTTACATAAAAAAATAAGTCATTTACCTAAGCGTAAAATCTTTTTCGCGCCCTTTTTACGGAGATTATACGCATTCGATCTTCTTACAGTTTTCCTAACTGCCATTATTTCTCATACTAATAATTATGTTCAAAGACAAAATCCTCGTTCGCAGAGCTTCGCATCTCTTGTTTGTGATCAATATATTATACAGCCAATGCATGATAGTTTTACGGATGGAGGAGCCGGCTGAAACTGATGAATCATTTTATGGATGCTACCTAATGCAAATATTCAATTTCAAAGCACTACTTAGTTGGACTGGCATGTTATTTCAGAAATTTGCTCCTCGATAGCTAAAACGTTTCCTACGAAATTCTGGCAAGGGTCAAGGAACAAAAAACGTATGGTTTGTTCCACGTAAGTTATGCTGGTGTGCTAATATATATTAGCCGTCTTATACATTAATTTCCTGAACTGTAAGGCGTGCCTATCTTCTAAATTATACCTGTTTTATGAACTTAATTAAATGATTCATGCAGCTCTGTTTTGTATTCGTTGAAGCGGTTTTTGTTCTAGAACCTTAGACAAATTATCCCAAACAAAACAACTGAATGGTGGAATTATAGATTAACACAGGTTCCAGTCTCCTCAGAACATCAATCATCTTAGAAACTTTAGAAATACTCGAGCCTCCCACGTAAAACACTCCAAATCCAAGCTTAAACATTTATACATGATTTGACTCTTTTGATTACATTGCCTAAGATAGAAATATCAATATGTTCAGGAATATTACTCAACCTCTGCCGAGAAGTAACAAGCATATATATCGTTTTCATTACATTTAGGCTAAGCTTATTCATTTTGAACCATTTTTGTGGGATATCTAAATCGTCATTTAAAACAGAAATAATCTTGTCGAGGTCTTTATTAGCA